ATTTTAAAATAACAATTTAGTTAAGTTTTCTTCACAGAAATGAAGGAAATTCTGAGATGTAGGCCTGTCTAGTGTGTAGTATATATATTTTTTAAAGTTTTCTTACACCCCTCACGAGCCCTTGTGAAGCTCTGGCGACCCCTACTTGGTGTTGGGACCCCCAGGTTGGGACATGCTATAAGGCAACACAGAAAATAATTACAGCATCTTTTTCTAATCGACCAAAAACTAGTCAGGATACAGTTTCTGAATATAATATCGTATCTTTTAGTGCTCCAGAGTATTAGATAACAGTTTGCTTAAGTATGACATTATGAAACATGAATGATTTGTGGCTTGTGAAATAGAATCTCTTTCTCCCTCTCAGTCTTTCATGGTCAGTGAGAGTGAGGCCTTGCTGAAGGAGACCCTCATGCCTGTGTATGTGGTGCCTGAGGATGAACAGCTGCTTTACATGTATGAGGAGGTGAAGCAAGCCGCAGCCACCCGGACCTCATCTATATTCATCAGAGGTGAGAGGATCAAGAGGATATATGGATGTACATTTACATTTTACTGCAAGGAAGCTGGAAAAATACAGCATTTGAGATTTGTATGTTTTCATTGTCTCAGTCCTTCGAAGTATGGTCACAGCTACAGCCTTTCAGATCTTAGTGAGCAACAATTCCCCCATCAAGGCCATCACTGACAACACCATTGTCACCCTGGAGGTGAGTGTGGAACTCAAGAACAGAAGAGTAAAAACCTTTTATTGACATTATTCAAATCTCAGTCAAAACAGTGGTTAGTTTGGCTTGTGATTGGTCCTCAGTCCTGCATTGTGTAACTACTGATGTTTATTTCAGGGAGTGCTTCCTGGAACAGGGGAGGATGCACCCACTATTGTCATCACTGCCCACTACGATTCCTTTGGGCTGGCACCGGTGAGTCACATGGAAATGATAAAACAGTTTCCAAAGCTCTTAACATATGTTGATTTAAATGTTCTTAGTCACAGCATAATACTATGTTAATTGGATGTATGTTTGTTTTTTGTGTGTAACACAGTGGTTGTCATATGGAGCAGACTCTAATGGCAGTGGGGTCACCATCCTGCTAGAGTTGGCTCGTCTCTTCCAGAAGCTTTATAGTAGCCCAAGCACCAGACCACCGTAAGCTCAAATTCCCATATAGACAGACCAAATAACATAACCAAACATGTGGTCTTTGGTCATTATAGTGTGGCCCAAGCACCCAGTGATGCTAATATTGCAAACAGTAAAAGCTAAGAGAGCATAGATTTTATAATGCTGAAGCAAATAATATCATCATCCCAAACCTGGATGAAAACCTAGCTCTGTCACATTCTCAAGACAACTGTACACTATCACCATCTGTTTAGGTAGAATCTGCTAGATATGCAAATGTATCATTATTTAATTATGTGAAAACTGGCTCCTATCATGTTCTTGGTTAAAAACATAGTATTTGGTCAATTATGGATAAAATCAGGGGTGCCTAAACTTTTTCCCTTGGAAGTGTTACTCTGCCTTCAATACTCAGATTCTAAAACATAATGAATAATTAGGGACCCTACATATTTAAAGAGCATTTTTACCTTATAAATAAAACAACATTAACAGCAATATATGATCTTTTTCACTTTAAAAACTAAACATCTGGCGGACCAAAACGAACCTTATGGTTGGCCAACTTTGACCTGCAGGCCTTTGGGCAGCCCTGTATAAAATACTAAACCATTTAACAATTTCTTTTTGGCCTTTTAGATATAATTTAATGTTCTCTTTAACCGGAGGAGGAAAATACAATTTCCTTGGCACAAAGAGATGGATTGAGGAGAATCTGGACCATGCTGGTGAGTTTTTCTTGAAATGTTCAGACTTAGGGATCCATGCTGTATCAACCATGTGTAGTCTACTGTACTAACATATCTAAACATGAGCAGCACAGCTTGATTTATTATATCCAAACTTTTCCTCTCCCAGAGTCCAGCTTGCTCCATGACAATGTGGCATTTGTTCTGTGTTTGGATACACTGGCCAACAGTGATAAACTGTACATGCACGTATCCCGCCCTCCTAAACAGGACACTCCCATACAGTCTTTCATTCAGCAAATGGAGGAGGTAACAAGCTTTTAGTGCTAGCTGAAAAATACAGCCTATCTCAGCCTTCGTGGCCTTAAATTTGTGACCACTCCTCCAGGTGGTTTCCTCCAGATTTCCCTGGGTGAAGGTGGGATTGGTCCACAAGAAGATAAATCTTGTGGAGTCCACAGTAGCCTGGGAGCATGAGCGCTACAGCCTGCGCAGGATACCAAGCTTTACTCTGTCTCATCTGGAAGATCCCAAATCTGAGCTCCGTGGTTCCATACTGGACACTATGTAAGTTCTAAAGTCTGTTTATGATTATTATGACAATGTGCTTACTGTGAAATGATATGAAACAATGATATAAAGACACACATCTTAGTTGTCTTTGTATCTTTTCACAGGTCACAAGTGGACTTCAGGAAACTTAAGCGTAACGGCATCATCATAGCAGAAGCACTGGCACGTTACATGTACAATCTCTCTGACAAGGTGATTAAATGCATGAAAATAGAAAGCGCGTATCTAAATACACAAACTGTCATTTCATTATTTGTTTTATTTCCTTTCATCAGCATTCTAATGTGTGATTAATCTTTATTATATTCCACAAGGGTTCACCAAAAGACGTGCAGGTTTTCAAGGGCCAACTGGTAAGAGCCTGGTTATTTTGGTCAATATGCAAAGACAAGTGCTGACCTCTGGTGTTAATATATAGGAATTGCAGAGTGCTTCTGTCTTCAAAGGCCTCAGTCTGCGTAATAACCTCAGCTCATTAATTTGATTCATTTGAAGATTGTGAGCATTTGAATAAAACCATTTCTTTGAGTATATTTGGAATGTAACGAGTCTGAAGTGTAGAAAGTTTAGTTTTTAAGTTACAGCTCGAAATCAACATTATTAAAAGATTAATTTTTACTGGTAATTGAAAAAGTGAATGTGAATTCCAAATTGGGTCCTTCATGGGTAAACATTGTGACTCATTGGCATAAAATACATTTTATTTTAATGTTGGCACACTTTTTTCTCCTGATGCAGGACTTTCAGGACGGCCGTATGTCCAATCTGATGTCCTTCCTGACGTCAGTACCGCGGGCCAGTCAGCTGCTGGATAAAGAGCCCAGTCACATCCTGCTGGTTAACTCACTGGAGCACGAGTTCAAACGTTACCTGCAGCAGGTTCACAGACATGCTTTTCGACAGGACAAAAGGTAACGTGGTAGAAGAAGAAAACACATACAGTGCAATATTCTCAGTTGTACTGTAGGAAAAGAAAGATCACAGCTGATTAACTATATTTCTTCATACAGGGACCCCGATATTACCTTTTTTGATCAAATGGACCAACCAATAGTGATGTACAGGTAAATATCTGCGCTCATTTGCATTTTGTGCATGTGGAAATTTCAATAAGACACTAAATGACACACTTTTTCTTCCAGAGTGAAGCCTGCAGCCTTTGATCTCTTCCTTGGCGGCTGCATCGCTGCTTATTTGGGGATTGTTTACTATGCCATTCAGGTTTGTTAATGTACCCTTTTATATTGTCCGTTCATTACTTCCTTGCAAGCAGCACAGCACCTTGTATGTCTTAGTTTTAAAGCACTGGCTGATAGGTAGACAACACTTTATGTATCGGGTTGATTTACAGTATCTCCCTGTTTCTCTTACAGAATTTTGGTTATCTCTACACAAAGCTCAAAGCAGCAGTGAAATCCAAGCACCAGTGAAAAGGACTGTGAACACTGAAAAAGGCTTTGAAGTCTGCACTGCGTATGGTGGACTTCTGCTTCACTGGCTGTGCAGAACATGAAAGCAATGCAACAAGAATCTTCTGAGACTGATCATGAGACTTACAATGTATGCATTTGCTTTGAAATGTATACTGTTTTAAAGATTTTTGTACCTTTCGTTATAAATAAATCCATTGTACTGTAAACCATTGCTTATATGAACTGACTGGAATTTGTTGTTTGGAGGAGATGTGAGGTAAAGAAAATAAATAAAGGAGGAGTTTGGGACATGCCTTGTATCAAAGTCTACTGAAGAAAGGAACACAAACTAGAGATTGGATTGGATTTGAGCACCCATGAAGGACGTTCCTGCCACATTATTACCATGTCCTCTGCTCTGCATACGGTTGACATGGATTTGACTGGGCTTAACATGGCTGTCAAACAAGGCCCAGCCACTGCAGCGAGATGAACAGCCAGTTCCTGTCACAGATAACTCAGAAAGAGAGAGCAACGGAGGCACAAAGGCACCCTACAGCGCTTAGTGAATTATTGATGCTCATGTGGCATGCTGACAGTGAATAGAGGTGACCCTGGGTGGGTTCTGGTTGGACATTCTTAGAAATCCCATCCCTCTTCTGGTTTGCTTCAATTCTGCAGATCTGATAAGGCTGATTCTGTTTTAACTACAAGGAGGCCAAACAGCTCGGAGCTGAGCGTTAGTGTCTGAGATCAGTGCTGGCTGGTTTGTGAGGGGCCCTGGGAAGGAAGTAGGTCATGGACAGTGACCCCAGGTATGTGTGTCACTGCAGGGGGCCTGGGGCTTAGGAGGATTAGTGGCTGAGTGCTCAGGTAGCAACAAAGAGTTGTTCTGGTTCAGCAAGGATGCTCTTACCTTGTCTCTACCTCCAACATAGTAGATTCATAACAATAGCTACAAGTTAAATACAACATTTTTATCATCTATTTGCCCGTTAACTAGAAGCCAAGCAGGATTTATAGCTACTGATGCATGCACAAGATAAATACTATGTTGCAATGCATGAACGCAGAAAAAGTAATGTATACCAGAAAAATAGGTGGCATGCAAAACCTAGAAAAAAAATTTAAGCATAAAAAAAGAGCATGGCACGGGCCATTTTTCAGATTAAAGTGGAAGTAAAAGAATAACAGCTATAACAAGTATGAGGGAAAGGGAGGAGCCATGGGGTGACAGGGGAGGAGAAGGATGTTCATGACTTTCAGACTGACTGGAGGGAAGCAGTGGAAAATAAACAAGACAATAAGTGAAGATGGCTCCCCAGCTCTACATCACCATGTACAAAGAGCAGTTTGCCTCACCCGGCAGAGCGAAACGAGAGCGACCTCGACCCACCTCTGCCCACCGCAGGAACAACCCCCAGCCCCGGCCGGTAAGAAACCACAGCCACATGGACTGTGGACGTTTAAAAGGACAATGCAATTATTTCTGATTGTGCAAGAAATGTAGAATTCCTTGAGAAAACAAGTCTCCAAAATGAGATGTAATTTAGCAATAATAATGTTGCCAAAATAATGTTTTTTATAACATTACATTTCCAGTTGGTGCAATTAAGGTCAAACAAGACTAATTGGGTCACTTATTATTGGCACTCTCTTTATTGTTCTTCATTGAGCCAGACTAAGGTGTCTTACATTAATTGGTGGCCGGTTGTTTACATTTGTCTTTGCTTGGTGAAAGCTGTATCCCATCTATTATTCAGTACTTCCTCCGTGCCTATGTATTTATCCAGACATAGTGTAAACAGAGCTAAGAGGAGAGTAGTCTATTGTGTAGAGAAAAAAAAGGAACTTAATGATTGCACAAGAGAGGTGACAATGAATACATTTCCAGTGTATTTTAGTAGTAATACAAAGAGGAAAGACGTTTAAGAGGAACCTGAATGTTCTTTACATTCTGAGAGTACTAAGAGAAAAATCTGAAAGGAATAATCATTGAAAATGTTTATTTAATAACTATAAAGACAAAAGTAAGAAAATAAAAAATAAAACATATGCCATTTTAAAACCATCATAAATTAGATAGACTGTATACAATATGTTCAGTGTAGTGGATAGTGAGGAGGAGAGATTATCTGAGACAGTGATATCTAGTTCCTCCTTCCCCTTATCTGCTTCTTTCTCTCCTTATATTTCTACCTATACATGCCTTCCCAGGACTTTCTGTTTCCCCGGACTGTCCACTCCAACTACAGGTCACGCCGCACAATATCACAGCCGTTGCCCCCTGTGGAAACTGGCCGTCCACTCTTCCCTCCTGTCAGACATTTATCATTCCTCCACCCAGTAACAACTTGTCCTGGCAACTATCTAAACACAGTGGACACAGGCAAACCAAACCTCATGCCCCCTGTCAACCAATCCACATTACATGCTCTGCCCTCTGCTGACGGACTGCAGAAACTACAGCTGCCTGAGCCTCCTGCTGGTGCCGGATTTCAGCCCCACACAGCTTTGAAGAACCCAGCAAGGTAGCAGCTGATCACCTATCAAAGATAACTCTAAATACACATTGATTCTAATTGATTTTCTTTGCAATAGGATGGACTATCAGAGGAATGTTCATCCACTCTCAGCACAGCAACTCAGGTGAGAGAATGACCTCTGACCTCTTCTTGTGGCCTTTAAACCCTGAAAACACTGGATGAGTTGATGAACATTACTGATTGATAACTGAGTGATTCTACAAGCCGCGTTGTTGTGTAAAAACCTGAAACAGACATTGTTTTTGACAGGCAACATGCAGGTGCTCATCTTCGGACAAGACCCCAAACCAGCAACCCTCCAGCAGGTCAACACCACTTTCCACTGACACAATACCGGAGGTCCAGCTCCAATAGCAGCCTGGATTATAGGTGCATGTTGAATATAAAATGTTGCATTGACGAAAAGATGTCTTAGTGTGCCATAAATAAAAACCACTGAGGTCTAACTTTTGCTCCAATGGTCTCTCAACAGCGGGTGCTACAGCTGCTTCCATGTGGTGAAGCCCTACCAAGCTGGACACTACATCATACACCCAGAGTTTGTGTCTGAGTGCCTTCGTTAGGACTATTAGAGCACTCGCTTCCAAAGTGGGGATCGGGGACCTGCAGTGGTCCTTGAGGGGGCTCTGGAGGTTTCCCAGCAAAAAGAGGGATCATTAACTTCACTATTGTTTAATTCTCTACTAATTAACCCAGTGAGACAAGGTGTAAGAATGAATAATGTGACTGTTGGCTGCACTCTCACTACTGTTATCTCCCTACATACAGCATGGACACTTTTACAGTTTAGCACTAAATCAGCAGCAAAGATCTTCCCACAAGGGGCCTCATGGTGATGAAATTGAAGAGGCACTGTGCCCCTAATGTGCATCATTCTATGACATTAAAGTTTTATCCTACTATGAGAGAGATAATTGTCTAAATTTGATATAGGAATTCTTTATTGCATGTTTGGAAGGTTAAAAAAGAAGTAGTGCTGCAAACAATGAAACATTACTCATGGGTATTACATACTTATTATGGTGATTATTATTAGTACTTTCTAGAGATACCATACAGTAGACAAAATATAGCACCAGTGCTAATAAGGTCATCATATAGACCTAAAGTCCTGAATAGTATTTGGCTCTCACTATACAGCCACTGTGTGTTTTTCAAAAGTTGTTCAACCAGTTTGATTTGCTTAAATCATGTAAAACAGTGTGACAATGTGCATAGTAAGAAAATAAAAAGTTCTGTGTTCAACGACTGGACTACATTTCCCATGCTACAGTAGGCGTAGTCAGGGCGGACACGCAGCAGCATAGATGCGTCTTGGTCTTTTTCTGTGAACTGTAGCAAACAAGTTGTGCCTGGTGCTGTTGAGGGGAGGGGTAGACCACTGGTCGGTAGGTAAAAACTCTATTTTTGAAGTTGAATATAAAACAGGACGAGCATAAACGAGAATGCCACTTTATGGATTCCATGTTATTTTCCCTCTGTTCACTTTCTTGCACCACCCACTACGGCGCACAACAACGGCTTTCTATACATTAGACTTTACCGTATATACTGTTGGAAGTTGTGGGTACATTAGCACAGGAGACCTTCTTTTCTGCACCATTTGGCTGTTAGCTTGTAAACACGTACTTGTGTGTAGTTATTGTGTGTTTATTCCATGGAAAAATAAATAAAAATACTCACGTAAAAAGTTCAACTTATGTCGAACAACAGTCGAACATAAATAGCCACAACCGAAGTGAAGCTCGTCACTGTTGATAATTCCTCTTTAAGGTCCTCTCCTGTACTTATATAAGTGTATCATCTAACTGTATAATAACAGAACTATAATTAGAATGCTGCAACACGCTAACGCAAACTCCACGCACGCGTGCGCTCTAGGCACGTGCACAGTCATACGCACACACACACAGGCGCGCGCACACTTCGTGAGGTAGTCAGCCTTTCTCAGACTGCTGTTCAGACTGTATCAGCACTTCTGTGTTTATTTCTCCATGTCAGAATAGATAGTGAATCGGCTGAAATGGCAGATATGAGGCCCCCTGATCACACCGTCAACAATGAAATGCCTCAGCCTCAACATTTTCTGTCTTCTCGCACTCTGCCAGTGGGAAAAAGAAGGTTTGAGTGAAATATTTCTGTTTAGAAAAGCCACTATATGCTTAAAAAACATTTATTTATGTATTTATTTATTTATTTTCTGTGAAAGAATAGGGATAAAAGTTGAAAATTAGTGGAGACAGAAAACTAATTGTCAACCATTTTGATGAATGATTTTTGTTTCATTAGGTATTGTAGTTTTATAGTGTAAAAAGAAAATAAGATAATGTATAATTTTAAGTAATTTCAAGCAAAACAATTTGTGACTGAGAAAAAAACTTTAATTAAAATAATAAGTAAAAAGTAAATAGAAATTCATTAAATAGTCATATTCATAATATAGCAAAATAAATAATATTATAATACACTAAGTACTAACAAATTAAAAGATAGATGAAAGCTGATTGCAAAACCATAATAGAATACAGGACAATAGAGTATGTGACCATAATACTCTCCTTACTTAATAATAATACATACTGCCCCAAGACACCAAGGAAGGAAAATAAAACAGCAGAAAAGGAAAGCAAAACAACTGCACTATGGCAGCAGGATTACGGAAAAACTATTGGCCCGATTTTCATGAAACCTGGTGGATAGGTGTTCATCATAATTAAGGTGAATGGTGTGTTGTGACTAAACATACAGAAAAAGAGCCACCTCAAATAAAACACCTTGGGGTTAGGTCTGTGTATCTGATCGCTTTCAATGCAATAGTTCTAAAGATTTTTGCCAAATATTCACCTTGTTCTTCAACTATATGTACTAAATGAAAGAAGATTGTACCAGACGTCCAGGGACAGATTTACTTTCAGTGTCATGTGAACTTCATTATGTATTGTTTCCCATCAATGCTTTCCATTGATTTTGATATTTGGCACAATGGAAATATATGACAAAGGTTTGCATTGTAGTCCCCACTGTTCCTCTAGTGCTTTATTAAATTATTTAAATAATGGAGTTATATCTTCCAAGAACACAAATGTGAATGTTGTGTGAATGATCAAATTATTAATCAATCAGTCAATTGAGCGAATATTAATCAGCAACTATTTTTATAACTAATTTTCCAGCATCTAAAATATCTTGTTTTGATGCTTTTCTTTGTCATACATGATAGTAAACTGAAAATCTTTCGGTTTTGGTGGGTAAAATAAAACCAGCTTTCTAAATATCACCTTGGGCTGTGGGAAATGGGTATTTTTCATTTTTTTGTGATGTTTTACAGACAAAAAGAGAAAGAAAATAATTAGCAGTTTAATGGATAATTAAAATAATAGTTAGTTGCAGCCCCAATTTTCTGTTTTTCTTAAGAAATTGAATATCTTTGTCTGATCAAAACTATCAATTTGAAGATATCACAGCAGGGTTCCAAATTTTTATAGACTCAACAATGAATAGCTTAATGGAGAAAATATTCAGCAGATCAATAATGTAAAGTATTGTTAGTTGCAGTTTGATGTGATGAATGTAAAATTATAACATAAAACATTATAGATTGCAGTTCTTACATCTGTCCTTGCACTTTTCTATTAAAAAACAACAAACATAAATCTTTATAGGCTAGGCCTAATATACAGTAAATCATCTCCTGACTTTTGGGGTCAATTTCCCTCCTTGAGTCCAGCAGCCTGAGTGAATCTCCAAGGAACCAACAGTTATTTCTCTGTTAATTAATGATGGGCTTATGTTATCACTCCTGTTGTTGGGGGAAATCTATACTAAGGGTGGTTGAACACAGAATTAGTCAATTAGATTGCTAATTAATAGCAAGCATTTTTTATTATCGACCCTTGCTGCCATGGCAGACCATGAGGGTCAATTCCAGTTAGGTCAGCAAACAGGGAATCTGGAGAGGAGTGAACTCCCTTCAGTTGGCTGTACGCTATAATGTAATCTGGTCCGATTAAGCTAAAGCCACAATAACTAACATCAACCAGTTAATTACCCGTAAGAGTTTTTGCTGTATTCCTGCTGGGAGGGGCACTTAGGTCTAAATTCAATAGAAATATACACGTGTCTCTCTGTTTGTGTTGGATATGTTGTCAGGGTTGTCAAAATGTTTGATTTTTGAACCCAGTTACTTCCAGTTTTTGTTTGTCTGGCTTGAAAGTGTGTGAAAGTTTAGTATTCTTTCCTCTCCTTTGTGGTATTGGCAGAGCTCTAAGGCCAAAATCCCCTTTTCTGCTCCTCTACTTCCTTACATACAAATGAGTCTTCTTTCAATCGAACTCATATGTTAGAATTACTGCTGGGAACATTCACTTTATCCTCTTATGGGTAATTGGCAGCAGATTTGTTTTGTTAAATCCCAAACACATCTTTAAAGTTTATATCCTGACAGCGTAATGCTGTGAAATCACTTTGTGCAGCAATGCAGATCATGTAAGACAATGCTAGAAATTTAATGGAGGCTTTGAACTGACAAGGAAACAAGACAGACTGAGAAACAGGTTCACATCTTATCTGCTGATCTGGCTGAGGCTGTTTTTCTGGATGGCTCTGATAGTTAAGTGAATTTCTTGACTAACCAGAACTTGTAAGCAATATTAGGCAAATGTACTGTACAAAGGCTCCAGCAACAGGCAGCCTTTTTGTAGTAATCATTTTATTTTGAACAACATTTTCCTAAAATCCAGTGTTGATATGAGAAGAGCAAATATTACACAAAGAGCAAGGTACCGACTTTTTAAAGTCTGTTTTCTCTCTCTCTCTCTCTCTCTCTCTCTCTCTCTCTCTCCTGACAGGCAAAGCAAACAGAGATAACAACGAGGCCAGAGTGAGACAAACAAGGTTCCCTGGAAAACATTTCTATGATCCCCTAGAACAGCATCTCTCAAATTTGTCCACTGAACAACTTAAGTCATGTACCAAGTTGTACCAGGAGGAGCGGGAGGTACAATTACAGATGTTATCCCCAAACAGAAACACAGCAAGGTAACTCGACCCTTAGTTGGAGCTGGAGTAATCGGCCTGGTGCTGGTGATTGCAGCAGTGACTGCATGGTGTTATTACATAGCCTCTCTACGCAAAGCTGAGCTGCTTAAGACTCAGCTACTGGATCTGAATAAAGATGGGTACATTATCCGCAACCAGGGAGGATCTATTGTTTTCAGGATGGATTTCAGGTTGGTCATTTAGAATTTTTTTTATGTTTATTTATGTTTGTGTAATGATACATATTTCAGTTGTGTTAAGTGTGTCAGTAATGTTAAATGTAAATGCATGCAAGTCATTTCAGTTATTTAACTGTAACAAAAGAAATGTGTGTTCAGAGATATTGCTTAAAATTTTTAATTATATTTAAATCTCGGCAGGTCAGGTACGCTGGATTTGGATTCGTGTTCCAAGGAAGGGGAGATGCTGAGCTGTGGAAGTACCACTGATAGAAAACTGAACTTCTTCATTGAGACAGTGCGACCCAAGGACACGGTGCAATGCTACCGTGTTCGTTGGGAGGAATTGGTTCCTGACATTCCTGTTGAGCATGCTATGACATACAAGTTTGCACACTGGTATGGTGGTGCAGTGTCAGCAATTCAGCACTGGCCTATTTCTATTTCTGGTCAACAGGCTCCCAAACCCTTTGTTACTAGTGACATCTACTCAAACCGCAATGAATTTGGTGGAATTTTGGAGAGTTATTGGCTTTCATCCAATGCTACGGCCATCAAGATAAACAATTCTGTGCCCTTCCACCTGGGCTGGAATGACACAGAGAAGACCATGTACTTCCAGGCACGATACAATGACAGTCCCTTCAAGCCAAACCCAGGAGAGGCACCATGTGCTGAACTTAGCTACCGAGTGTGCGTGGGATTGGATGTGACTTCCATACACAAGTACATGGTCCGCAGATACTTCAACAAACCCAACAAAGTGCCTGCCAAAGTCATGTTTCGCCATCCTATATGGTCAACTTGGGCGCTACATAAGACTGACATTGACCAAGAGAAACTCTTGGCGTATGCTGCCAACATCCGCAAGCATAATTTTAACTGTAGCCACCTGGAACTAGATGACCGCTACACTAGCCGCTACGGAGATTTTGAGTTTGACCAAATAAAGTTCCCCAATGCCTCGGCCATGTTCCAAAAGCTGAAATCAGATGGATTTCTTGTGTCACTTTGGATTCACCCTTTTGTTAACTATGACTCGGAAAACTTCCATACCTGCGTAGAGAGGGGGCTGTTTGTCTGGGAGCCAACGGGACGGCTCCCAGCATTGGTGCGCTGGTGGAATGGCATTGGTGGCATTTTGGACTTCACAAACCCAGAAGCCCGTGACTGGTTTTCCTCCCAGCTACGTTCACTGCGCTCCAGGTATGGGGTCACATCTTTTAAATTTGATGCAGGGGAGACCAACTACCTACCATGGAAATTTAGTACCAGAACTCCCATTCGGGACCCAAGTTTTTTCACAAGACGTTACACAGAAATGGCTATTCCCTACAACGATAGAGCTGAGCTGCGCAGTGGCTACCAGTCCCAGAACATATCCTGCTTCTTCAGGCCAATTGACAGAGACTCAGTGTGGGGCTATGAGTTGGGTCTGAAATCTCTTATCCCCACAGTGCTCACTATTAGCATTCTTGGCTATCAGTTCATTTTACCAGACATGATTGGAGGGAATGCTTATCTGAACCGCACAGATGGAAATCGTGCGTTACCCGATCGAGAACTCTATATCCGCTGGCTGGAGCTGTCAGCCTTCATGCCTTCAATGCAGTTTTCTGTTCCGCCATGGGAATACGACAACGAGGTGGTCGAAATTGCTCGGAAATACACAGCCCTCCATGAGAGTATTGTGGCGCCACGGGTCCTGGAGCTGGCTGGTGAGGTGCTGGACACTGGGGACCCAATCATACGGCCCCTGTGGTGGATTGCCACAGGTGATGAGACAGCCTATAAAATCGACTCCCAGTTCCTGATTGGGGACGACCTCATGGTAGCCCCAGTTTTAGAGCCTGGAAAGCAAGAGCGTGACATCTACCTCCCCGCTGGCCGTTGGAGAAGCTACAAGGGGGAGAGATTTGATATCAAGGAGCCACTTCACCTCACAGACTATCCTGTGGATCTGGATGAAATTGCTTACTTTGTTTGGGTCTAGCAAGAAGGAAATGTAAAGCTGAACAGACTTGATTAGCGAATGTTCCAATTTGCTTGAAAGACAAGCTTTACAAATGAGCTTTTATGCATGGCAGGAGGAACATTGCATGAAAAGGTTGCTCAATATGGAGAAGTATTTAACTTTTCAAAGAAATTGAAAATGTTAACACTAATTATATTACCAATTTGAAACTGCTTGACTCAAAAAGGCTCAAAATCTCATTGTAATGTTTTATTGCTTTTTTTGGTTGCATTTTTCGTTGTTTAATGGAAAAATATCTGTGTCCTTGAGACTATGTAAGTTTTGCTTTGCCACTGTGAGGTGTGACAGTGGCAAATGACAAATATGGGTTAATTATAAATGGTAAAACATATAATCATATAGCAGTTGCACAAAAAGGAGTCATAAAGAGTCATAAAGGCAACAAACTGACTCAATAACATGAGTTACACAGCAATATCTGTTTGCTATCATTTGCTAACTTTAGCTGCCATAAGCTAGTAGTCATACCGGACCAGTGAAGGCAACAAAAGCCTAGCATGTATTAAAGTAAGTTGTTTTAATGTTTTTGAATTTAGAATTTCATGGATACAAAGAAGAATGCGTCATTTCATATTTTAAAAGTTACATAGTGTCGCTTTAAAGGCTGTACATATGAAACAATTGTCAAAAAGGGAATATGAAAACTGTGAATTGAGTTAGGCATATATTATATTATACACCATAACGTTTTTTTAACAGCGCTTCGAAGATAAAACAGGTAAACAGATTGATTGAAGGAAAATTTGAATGGTCATTTTTTATCATTAAGAAAATAGGCTTCATAAAACTCTATATTGATAAACACTTCTCAGTTTGAGTGAGATATCCTACTTTCCTTTGAAACTAATGACTCTTCTACTCCTCTGCTCTGGGATACTTCTCAGGAAGTCAGGTTTTATGCTTCACTTATCAGGTTGTATGCTTGAAGTTTAATCGTTACTAACCGCATTTGCTCTCATTTGGGAAACAGTGTCATGTAACTACTCTTAGCCCAGAAAAAGATGCCTTTTATTAGGCACTAAATATTTTATGTTCTTCCTCAGGTAACAGCTTTTTCTGGCTGTAGTGTTGAAGTGTCTGGTAATTGTTTGTCTTGTGCTTTGCTGATTCTGAATGCATATAAACATCTAATATTATAATGTATAATACATTGACTTCCGCATCCAGAATAAGAAATCTCTTTTGGAAAATGGTCTGATGTTTGTAATTCTGAAACACAGTAACCTAAATGATAATAGACTGGTTAATTTATTGGTATGCAGTGTGGAAGTCAATGAATTTAACAGCAATTAATCACCAAATTAAATGGTACAGTGTATTTATACACCTTGTGTTTTGTTAATGTGAATATATTGTAACTGCAGTGATATCTCTAAGTGCCATATATTAATAATTACTGCCACATACTATGAGTGATTTGTTGTTCTGATACACATTTATTATTGTTGCATTTTTCCATATTGTACATTTATCATTAAATATAGTTAATTTAACCCCTTTTATGAGGTGAGTTAACCCTTTTGTGGGAAATCACATGGTCAACAAAGTGTACCACAAAAGCCACATAAGTTTGAAGCTGCAATAAAAATATTGTGTTATCGAAGTAACAATGAGGAAACATCCATTTTCTTATGGTGCAATTTTATCATTTGGCAATTTGTCTTTTTAAGTTTTTTTTAAAAAAAAATGCTGTCTACCTTTCTGTGCTGACTGTGTGTAAACTTTGACATCTGGCTTCCAGGTTGACCTCTGAGTTTTGTTTGTGTCTCTTGATATACTTTCATCATAACAATGCTACGTATTTATAGCAGTTCTCACTCAGCATCTGGACCAGGCCAACCTCTGAGGCTATTTCTGTCTCAGACTGTCTTGCTTTATGACAAGACTGAGAGGCTATATCTTGGACTTAATGTTTTTTTTTTTTTTTTTTTGGTTTTATGTATTTTGACCCACTGTGTGATGCTGTTTGCCTCGAGTTATTGTAACTGAATATTAGCAACATTTGCATGTGACTTAAGGGCAGCACTAATTTCAGCAAGAATGCAAATATGATTTAATTTTGTGTGCATGTATTAAAAGAAATCCAGTTTGACTTTTGCTGTTTGTGAGCATGTTTGTTGTACCTAATTTGCATAGAACACACAATAATATTGAAAAGTAACATGGAAAAATAAAGCACAATTGCTACATTTCGCTACCATGAATACCACTATCAGATGATTGATTGTAAATCCTCTAGGAACGCCATAAGAGTGATCAATATATGCCGGACTTTTACTTTTTACACACACCTCCAAAGTAAATACAAGAAGGAAAGACACATGGACATGACATTCAGGTCAGTGAGCTGACTGTGCAACCAGTGAGCCAATAACAACCTGTAACCTCTTATGAGTCTGCAATACATGAAAACTAATATGCCTATCAATTCAGTATTGAAAGAGACACCCTTCAGGGACTTTTCCAACTTTTGGCGCCTGGCTCATCATGGGCCAATAATGACAAAGTGATGAAACAATTGTGCAGGTTATTTGGAGGCTGTGTTCAGATCAATAAATCATCTGGTGGTTCATGATCTGAGGCCAGAGAGCAAGCGATATAAAAGTGTACGAGCAGACACCAAGAATAAAAAAGATAAACTTGGTAGGAGATAATAGCAACAATACTTATTAGAATTACAGCATTAAGCATGATTGTTCTTTCTGAGTTCAAACAGCCTGGCTGGACCACTTCTTACAGCTACAGTCGATTTTTCATATGTTTGGGGAATTTATTCCATTTCACAACAGCGGGATATGCTTCAGAACTACTTCACTTTATTTGCCAATGCCTCATCTTTCTTCAGAATTGATCTTGACTTGCAGCTTGTGCGGGGAGGACATACATTCATTGATTAGCTGTCTGTGTCTCGCAGCAATCAATATTATTTGTCAGTTTGCTTTCTGCAATCATATTGTTTGGTTCTGCCCATCTTTTCATAGACTGGACAAATCATTTATGTAAGAACTTCAAGAGGAACTAGGAGATTTCTCGGAGGGTTGAATAAAAGAGGGTCAAAAAGGACCAATTTATTCCAAAACAATAGGGGCTTTCTTAAATATATTTGTGCCTATCGTTCAGTGTAAGGAAGCACATAAAAATACATTTGTTGATTTATATGAAGGAAAAACGTGTCTTTACCAGTTGATAGCAGTGAGAGTAGAGATAACAGTATAAACCTATATTGTGGAGCATTTAAAAAAAGGTAAAACAGATTCACACATTCAAAAAGAAGAAAATTCACAGGTTTTAAGAGCTGACTTTAAAATTTCTAAATTTTCTGAAAACTAAACAATGACACAAAATCTGCTTTGGCCATGTGGTGCTGCAGACATCCAGAAGGGTGCAGTGTAGCTTCATTGATACATTTTCTCTCTGACATGTCAGTGGACCATGGTCCAGATGTTACTGTATGTGCGTGTATATATACACACACACACACACACACACACACACACACACACACACACACACACACACACACACACACACACACACACACACACACACAAGCAGGACACAAAACTGGCAAAGCACTTCCCCCTTCCTTCCCCACCTGTGAGCCCACCTGTGTGTCCATCTGCAGAGGAGAGACGCCAGTTGTTCTGGTTAGGAGCCAGTGTGTCTCAAGTACCTTCCCAAATCCTCCTTCTATGAGCCTGCCTGTTGTCTGTCCTTCCCGTAATGCACATATATTACACAGATAGAAGCAGGAGAAGTGGTGCTCAGAACAGCAACCATAAAAACACAGCTGGCTCACAAAAAAAGATGTTAAAAACAAATGCATCTTTTGAAATTTCCAACTTACTTTTCTAATCAGTGCTATGGTTATTGTAAAGTCATCAGTTAGAAATATCTGACAATACTAATAAACAAATGACCATCATCAAGAATTGGTGTAAAAAAAAAAAAAAGTACAAGTAAGTACAGTATTGTGTATGTTTCTGTGGCTTAATGGCAATTATTTGACATAACATTACATTTACACTGTAATCAAAATAATTGTAGAAGAATATTTAAACAACTGAATCCATCATCAAAATTGCGGTTAGTTCAGCATTACAGTAAACTGTAATGGACAAGAGACAAGCAATGATGAATAAGCTTCAGTTTTTATTAAAAAAAGCTTTCTGGCTTCTTGGAGCTATGTGTGGAACGAGCGTTTATTGTAAAAGACCACAGGGGAAATAAAACCCCATGGCCGTCTCTTGTGTGAAGTGAGAATCTTTGTCCTTAACCCAAGATTTTCACTCCGTAACTAGAATGACCTCGCATCTGGTGCTGCCATGGCTTGTCTGACAGGAATATGTCTGTCCTCGCTAGGTAACAAATGAACCCAACACCCCCGAGACCGGTCTCGCATCTGTTTATCTTTTTCACCTGTCGGTTGGCTGCACTGCATCAGGCTTACACTCCTCTGCAGCCTTTGTGGATTTCAGAGGGTGCCTCTGGCATTACAGGGACAAAGATAGTTGGTGTTGGCTGGTAGCACCATTTGTTAACTTTATAACTGGGTGTGATGGTATAGCATCCTGTTTTCACTTAAATATTTGTTTTTATAACTTACTGTTACAATTTTAAAACTTAATTAATTAGTACAATTATTTCAGTAAAAATATTTTTAGTTAGTAAAAATATTTTACAGTCGATAATCTTAACTTTTCAAGCAAACATGCTAAGGATTCTCATGTTCCAGTGACTAAATCTGAGGATTACTTTTTCTTATTTTAACTATTAAACTTCGCTTCAGGTAATTGTTTTTTCACTATTTTTGGACAATTTATAGACCAAATTAATTATTGATGAAAGCCCTAGACTGTGCACCTCTCATCCTATTGTTGCAGACAACGACAATAAAGCTCTCTTAAATATTGAGTCTATACCGCTAGTATACTTTGTATAGAGTTAAGGAAAATGGTGACAGATATGCAGACACACTTAAATAGTAAAATTAAGGACTTGGGTGAGGACACCAGGCAGGGCACTTCCTCTGTGCCTTGGTGGGGGTAAGAGGTTGAACAAAATGGCAGGCACTGAGGTACAGATGCATAATTGAAACATTGCGTCGCTGCTGCAGCCGTGCACAAGGTTGTTTGATTGATACCGTTTTAGAACACTCCTGTCCCCTCATGCTCTTGGGTTTTACCTGGGTAGAAACCAGGGGAGGGGGAAAGGTGCTTAGGTGGCTCATCTGGGTTTTGGAGGAAAATTGGTGCCATCCATCAAACAGTGCATTTAACAAACGCTAACGCAGGCCAGGCCAACAAAGGATTCGTATATAAGGCAGCGAACCGGGAAACATGTGAGGTGCAGGGACTGCTGAGGGTCTATCAATCAACCAGTCAGCTCCTTTATTTAACAAGCGAGGGCCACAGACCCCGAGGGCCACACTCCATATTCTGGCTGGTTGGGCTTGCGGTCTTCTCCTGTAAAAGGAAGAAAAAAGGGGAAGAGAGGGATGAAGGGAGGAAGGAAAGAGGGGCATGAAGGGATTGGGGTTGGGGGGTGATGGAGGTGCAGAAGGGTTTGGCCCATGTCCCCTGGCGTGCTGGTGCGCTTCATCTTCTCAGTGCAAGGGCCTGGAACTGCCACTTGATGGGATTTTCAGCCCTGTGGCCTCCGCTGTCCCAGCATCCATCTGGAGGGCTGCCGCATGCACAGCAGAGAGCCAGCCACTCAGCGACACAGCCATAAAGAACAACCCGTAGGCCAGCCAATGCCACTGATCTGAGGCTCGCAGCTCTGTTCAGTGGACAGGCCAACACTCAGTGGCACACATTCCTGTCAGGGACACAGGCTGATCCCTAAGCTACTGTGTGCTCAGTGGAACAGAAGACATGCTCTGTGAGGCAGCCCACATCCAACCACCAACTCCTTCAAAGCTTAGAAAATTGGAATGGAACAAGGACTTTACTATTCAGCATCCTTAATGGTGTGGAGAGGACTATCTCCTCTCTCTCATTTGTTCTGTCTCTGTGTGTGTCACAGCAGTGGAATATGCACTCCCTATTTCCGCATTGCGTGACTTTTGATCTGTTATCAAGATTTTACAGAGCATTCAGTATCTGATCAAAGTTGTAGATGCAAACGCATAGATTTGAATAAGCCTGTTGGAAGGTTGGCTATAATAAAACCTTGCCTGAAAACAATATTTTCTTTGCATGTTCAATAAGACGCTGAGTCCATTTTTTACGGAGAAGTTCAATTTAATACCACAACGCACAGCATCCAGGACAATAATATCAACAATATATAATTGAAAATCAAGACCAAATACGCAAAGACAATCATTACTGCCTCTCATTATTGGATCCAATTTATATATGCCCCAGGGGACAGAGTAGCAAATAATGGATTGGTGCTGCGAAGAGCTGAGATACTGTACGCGCTGTATTGGTGGTGAACGTGCATGAGATCCAACCTGATATAACCGATACGAGTGTGGAAACTTTGAATTGAAAATGTTTTTGTTTCTCCTCAGGGCTACGCGGCATCATTAGCATATTTTTCTCTCCTGACGACTGTAAATTCAGTGAATGTAGCCCTGTGGTGGGTAAGGTGGGCAGACGGCAGACTGTATAAATAAACAGAGTCTGTCTGAGGGCAGCACTGTGGCCCCCACCTGCCCACCATCAATCAATATTACAGCGGCCACTGGCAGCCCAATCGCCCTTTTATAGGCCTGTGAAATGATCAAACATCTGCTCATAACCATGCTTCATATATAGATGGATCATACATACAATATCAAATTCTGCATACTATTATGCTGCACAACAGGATGTCACAATGACAAAACAGTGCATTTATCCAAAATTGTGCAGAGTGGCAGATTTTGGGGTACAAGTAGCATTGAGGCATATTTAATCAATAACAGAATCAGCAAGCTTTTTAAAGCTTACCAGATACTTAAAAAAATACCAATATAGCCAATATTGATGACACGTGAATCTGTTGGTCATCTTATTGCTCCCCAGTAATCACACAAGCTCTTGGTTCTGTGTGCCCAAAAAACTTGGGTGAGAAAGCACAACTCTGCCTCAACTATTTCCT